CAGGACGGGGCTGTTGGATGCCCATGGTGGGAGCAGGATTTGGTGCAGCCAGGACCCAGGAGCCCATGGCTGTGCAGCACCCCGGGGGCCGTGTCCCCTGGCCGTGGGCTCCCAGGGTGGGGCTCTGGAGGAGCCCCACTTTGCAGCCGCCCCGGGAAGCTCCACGAGGCGGGGCCGTGGGAGGGCTGGGGCTGGGGCTGGGCCGTGGCCGGAGCCCCCCCAGCCCCCCTGCCCACGCCTGCCGCGGCTCCGGCTGGAAATGGAGCAGGGAACAAAGGCGGCTTGTGGCGGGCGCCGGGTCTCTGCCCTTCCTGCAGGAAGGCCCCGGGGCCGGACAAGGGGCCCGTGTCCGGATCTGGCCGCTCACCAGCACGTGCCGGGGGGGCGGCGAGGGGGTGGCGAGAGCGGATGGGGATGCCACCCGTCCCTCACTGCTGCCATCGCCAGCCACGGGGCACGGAAACCCCCAGGACACCCCTGGGCATGGGAACACAGGGCTCTGCCCTCCACCTGCCGCTCCACAGGCAGCACTGGGGATGAGGTGGCTGGGGCTGCCCAGGTGGACACTGACTCGTGCCAATTCCTGCAATGTCCCCATCCCCAGTGTCCCCATTCCCACACAGGCAATTGCCCCATAAGCACCTCGTGCACTGTCCCCATTCCTCTCCCTTGCAATGTCCCCAGACTCCCAGATGGGAGCTCAGCTGGGCACAGAGATGGTGGGGTCAGGACTGGCCATGGCAGGGACATCCCAAGCTTCCCCTGGCAGTTCCCCCAGAAGAGAGCCCTGGCAGGCACCATGAGCACCCTCAGCTTGGCCCTGGCCCGGTGAGGGTCCCAGCCCAGCTCGGGCTGGTGACACCCATGTCCCTCCAGGGAGTGTCCCCATGCCCAGGAAAGGTGGGTGCACGTGGGAGAGCACAGGACACGGGGAGCCTGGGCAGGTTTTTATTTAAGAAGAAGCAACTCTGGGCACAGCTGGTTACGAGCTCCAGCACCAGCCAGGGCAGGAACTCTCTCCTCTGGCCACACTGGCTCTGCTCTCGGCAGGGCTGGAGGTCCCTGGTGTGGGGCTCACCCCAAACATCCTCAGGAACCCCTGATGCTGCCACCGGGATCCCGGGACAGGATGGGGCAGTGCCAGCGAGATGCTCCGGGCTGGGCAAGTGCCAGGGCTGGCACAGAGGGGCTGAGGAGCCCCTGTGCCCCAGCTGGTGTAGAGGGTGGAGATGACAGGTTCCCATGGAGGACTAGGGGTGGCAGGGCCCTGTGGGGTGCTCAGGGCTGGAGTGGGGTTGGCCCACCCCGGGCATCCCCTTCTCAGGAAGCGTTGCTGTGCCAGGACCAGAGAGAAGTCACCAAAAGCGAACGCTGACAGCCAGGGCTGGCCCCGGTGCACCCGGGGTGGCAGCCAGTTAGTGCAAACAAGGTCTGTATTATTAAAGCTGGAGGCTTCGGGCTGACGGCCCCGGCCCCACCGGGGCTCGGGGAGGCACTGGGGTGGGTGGGGGCAGGAGGTGTGGGGGCACTGGGGCAGGGGCAGGATCGTCTCTCGCCAGCCCCGTCACAAGAGCACACAGGGCTTCTTGGGCTTGGCCGGGGCGGGGTTGAGCACGGCCCTGACGGCCTCGGTGAACACATCCTTGATGCCCTCCTGGTTGAGCGCCGAGCACTCCAGGTACTTGACTGCACGGATCTGCTTGGACAGGCTGATGCCCTGCTGGGTGGTGATGGGCGCCTGGTTCTGCTCCTTGAGCCGCTTCATGGTCTCGGGGTTGTTCCTCAGATCCTTCTTGGTGCCCACGAGGAGGATGGGCACGCTGGGGCAGTGGTGGCACACCTCAGGGTACCACTTGTGCTTGACGTTCTCGTAGGAGGGCGGGCTGGCGATGGAGAAGCAGATGATGAAGACGTTGGTCTGGGGGTAGGAAAGCGTCCGCAGGCGGTCGTACTCCTCCTGGCCGGCCGTGTCCCACAGGTTTAAGTTTATAGTCCTGCCATCCACCGTGTTCTGGGCGCTGTAGTTGTCGAACACGGTGGGGATGTACTCCTTGGGGAAGGCGTTGGTGGTGTAGCAGATCAGCAGGCAGGTCTTGCCCACCGCCCCGTCTCCCACCACCACGCACTTGATGCTCTGCATCCCGGCGGTCCTGGTGTCCCCTTCAGCAGCCTGGGGGAACACAAGAGGCTCAGGGAGGGGACGCTCCAGGGCTGGGTCACTGTGGTTCCCCCACTCTGACACCCCGAGGCCAGAGGCTGCACAGGGGTCACGCCCCCTTGGTTCACCATCCACCCCAGTGCCCGGATGAGCTTCCCAGGCAGGCACATCCCCCGACAGAGACCCCCAGTGGGGATCTGCCTGCCCACAGGGACACACCTGTGCCACCATGGCCAGTGTGCATGGGGACCACATGGTCCCCAGGGTGCTGCATCCATGGCAGCCAGGCTGTAGCAGCACCCCGTGCCATCCTGTGCCGTGCTGTGCTGCGCCTCCAGCCCAGAATGGGACAGAGGCCAGCAGGGCAGGGAGCAGGGGCACACCTGGGCTGTGGCAGCCCATGGGCCATCACCATTAGTCCCAGCCCCGATCCTGCCCACACCAAGCAGGGCCAGTGCTGGTCCTGGCGGGCAGAGGCCGCACTGTGGCTGGAGAGTGGCCGCTGGCGTGGCCCCCGGAGCCAGTGTCCGCTCCAGCTGTGTTTATCCCCAACCCCGGCGTGCGTTTTCCTTCCTC